CGGAGAAAAATGACAGAATTTGGCAGCATGGCTCTGATTGATGAAGGCGGTGGAGGTGACGAAGGTGTTGCCATCCCTCTTCCTGGAGTAAAAAGAGGTATGGCTTTGACTTTGCTCTCTTGTTTCTACTTTTATGTGCATCAGAACCTTTGACACAGATAAGAAGGGTTTGACTTGTTTAACTCAGTTTTAACATCAGGATTACAAAATTTGGTCTCACCACTTAAGCTGCAGGATCTCTTGGACATGAACTGTGCCTTCCTTAACCAGTCTTTATTTGTGCTAGGTTTTACCATGCTGCACATTGTTTAATGGTAACATCATAGTCAGGGTTGATTACTAGACTTTGAACTTGTGGTGAATCTGTTAAATCACTTCCAAATTTCTCTTTTAGGTGACATGAGCTATCGACACTTCAAACCAGAAATAAGAGTGACTTGTGTGAGATTCTGTCCTACAGGTTAGTATCAACAGTTAATTTAGGATTTTTTTCTTTATTATTCCACATAAAACATGTGAAACAATAGAGTACTGGAGGATTATCATTACTCTTCTGTTTCCATTCTAGAACACCCCTCTTTGTTGTTAAATATTGTTATTTCTCTTCTAGGACGAAGCTGGGCAGCCACCACCACAGAGGGTCTCCTGCTCTATTCACTGGACTCTGGGCTAATTTTTGATCCTTTTGAGCTGGATATTGATGTCACACCCAGCAATATCCACAAAACACTGAGTCAGAAGGAATACACTACTGCTATTGTCATGGCCTTCAAGTTGAATGAAAAGAAATTAATTCAGGAGGTGATAGAGGCTGTCCCTAGCAGTGAAGGTGAGTGGATCTGCCATGAAACTGGCCTGAGCTAGCTGTAAACAGACATGTGTGAGCCAAGATAAGTTGAGGTGTGAAGGCAGACTTTTTAGTGTTAATTTATATTTAAATTTTACCCATCTACTTCATGCTCATTCAGTGACTTCTCAGCATGGAATTTGATCAGACCTAGAGGTGCAGGCAGAGTTTTTGGATGTCATTTCTCAGAAGCAGCTGATGTTGGAGGGGCACTTCAGGTTTAACCTGAGTTAGCACTATGCCTGTGTGATGAAGACCATTAACCAGCAGCAAGGATGTAATCAGCAGTTTGAGGAAAGTGATGAATCTTGTCTGTTGAGCACTTGTGGCACCACATCAGGAGTACCGTGCCTGGTTCTGGATCTAAGAGCACAAGAAAAGACATTGAAATTCCAGAACACCTGGTGGAGAGCTTAGAAAATGATTGGAAGGCCAGAGTACAACTGAGGAGAGGCTGTTGTAATCCCCTGTTAACAGAATGATTATGTGCCTGTTTCTTAAGCAAAAGCTGTTTCTGAGAATGGATTATATATAATGAGGTCATTTAGTTATATATGAGATTATTTTGGATGCTTCTAAATAGTGTTTGTGCTGTGCTGTTGCTAACAGCATTCACACACTTCCTGTGTGGGCAGGTGACTTTGCTGTCTTTTCAAGTATCACTGCCTCTGATTGTTGTGCATAACTAGTTCCACTGAATACAGAAATCTGGGTGAAGTCAGGAGCAGCAACAATAAAGTCTGTTACTTTAGAAAAGAGGAGAACAGGGTGGAAGTAAAAATGCTGAAGGAAAGCTGCTGGGAAGAGTTCTCTGCTAGGAGGAAGAACTTGGGAGAGGGAGGAGTTAATTTCTTGCTTTTAAATTCAGTAGTGTTTGGAAGGTTCAAAGGAGGAGCATTTGTCCCCTGAGAGATTGTGGTACTGTACCCTGAAATACAGCACTAAATATCCACCACTTGCCAAAATTCAGCTTTCTTTTTCTTCCCCCTGTGCTTTCCTGTGGTCTCTTTCATGTTATTCCAAATAGTAACTCAACTCTATTGAATGTTCATGGGCTTTTTTTCCTTTTTGCACAGTTGATGTTGTCTGCTCATCACTGCCAGACCTGTATGTGGAGAAGTTACTGGAGTTCCTGGCCTCTGCATTTGAGACCTCTTGTCACTTAGAGTTCTATCTTATTTGGGCTCATAAGTTGCTTATGCTGCATGGACAGAAGCTGAAAACAAGGTGAGATCTTGTGAAAGTCAAAATGCTGACAAGGATAGTAAAATTAAAAACCTGTTAGTTTAAGGCTTGTACTTAATATATACTGACATTCTAGATAATGTATGTACTACAATTAGAACACTTCAGTTTTACAACTTCTGTATGATAAAAGTTACAGTTTGGACTTGATCTTAAAGGTCTAAAGATTCTAAAAAGTGTGTGCGACAGAATTGAAATATGTTACTGGATTTGTGAAGATACATTGCAAAAACATTTTTCAAATACAACAGGTAAAACTTGCTTGAGTTGCTTAGGCAATATCTGCATAATGATTTCAAGAGTGATAGTAAGATTTTGGCAATAGTTTTTTTAAACAATTATGAACCTTAAATGTAACTGAAAGGTGATGTGCAGGTATTGATTGCAGTTTTACAGACTTAGCTTATTATAGCTGGTAGTACTCTGCCTTCCTACAGAGTACTTCATAATTACACAGGCCTGGTCTGTGAATTATATTCAGCCCATCCCTAATACGGAATTTTTAGACTTCTAAGAAAAACCAGACAAATTTATAAATTTAAAATGGGTTGAGAGGTAATTTGAGGAGGAGTCCTGCAATTTAAAAAACAGTGCATTGCATAACTCCTCCATTGCTTCAACGTAGGTATTAATGTTTTAGTTACTGAAATGACTGGAACAAAACCTCTCCTTTTGTTCCTGCTAAAGTAGAAGAGGGCAATTTAAAACAAACTCCCCCTTGTTCAGAAAGTCTTGTAGTATCTGAAAGAAGCTGTCATTGCTGCAGCAAGCAGAATTAGCTCTTCAAGATGCAGTTGGGCATTAGAAAAAATATTTCTCACAATATATTACCTGTATTGAGTGTAATCATTGTGGGCAGAGTCAAAAGCAGAAAGCTTTTGTTTCTTTAGGATTGTCTTAAAAAGTTGGCATTGAAGTTGTATGCTTGGTAGAATCTTTAGAATATAGAAGAGTTCTAGATTTCCATATGTAAGCATGAACTGCACTGCAAATTGCATGTTTTCTCCATCCAAGGTCAGTGAAGCTGCTCCCTGTGATTCAGTTCCTTCAGAAGAGCATCCAGCGTCACTTTGAAGATGTTTCAAAGCTGTATGTATTGTTACATTTGCAAGTCCAAATCAAAAACCTGGAGTGATCTGGGGGATGACAGTGTGCTGTTAAAACTTTTCAGCCAGTCTTCTTTTAGAGTTGTTTTTATCTTAGGAAGAAAACAACGTTTTCCTGTTTATTTTTACAGCTGTGAGTGGAACATCTACAACATCAAATACGCCTTGGCCATTTCACAGCAGCGGGGTATGAAACGTCCAGCAGAGGAAACACCAGGAGATGAAGAAGAATTGGATTCTGACAGTGATTATCTTATGCAAGAAGTTCATAAGAATAATTTGAGTTCCTAATTAGTCCTTGTGAGAGGGAGAAAACCTCAGACAGTATTTTTTGCAGTGGTATTCACTGAGAATGAGTGGCCCTCATAGTGGCATCAGTTCCTAACAGTGTGCTGGAGTTCCATGGGAGGTAGTGATGGAAATGTAGGATATGCCATGGATGGCACTTTGCCTATTTCTTGTACTATTTGGCTATAAACTTGACAGCATTGATTCCTTGATTAACTGATTTATTTTTTTTAAATAATTCCTGATTTCAAGTAAGAAAAAACAAATGTTTGTAGGGAAATTAAAAGTACAACTGGAAGAAGTTTATTCTTTATTACAAATGTCTTGAACATTAAGTATTGTGAATTTTATAGTGCAGGCTTATCCTACACTGGTCTCTGAATTTTAAAAAGGATTAAAAACATTTTCTTAATTGGAAATGTACTGGTCTAAACTTGTTTTAAATGTTGTTTTACTTGGATTTAATATGTACATATTTCTGGAACACTCTTTTCTTAGTTCTGTAACCTCCAAACCTGATGAGATTTCAGTAATGAGGAGAAATGAGGACCCGTAGCAGTAGCTATTGGAGAAAATTTACAGAGCTTTACAACTTGTGTCGAGGTTTGACTGACAACCTTGAGATACCCTACTGAAAATTTGTTTGGACATTACCAACTCAATAATGTAACTTAAACTGTAAGAGAATGTGTTAAAAATGTCATGGCTTGTTGGTTTTGGTTTTTTTTAATTCTTTCTTTTTTTGATGAAAACCCTTTCTTGTCTTTTTTTAAAATGTTGTTTATTAATACATTAAAACAAGAAACTTTTGATTCCCTCTGTTTTTGTGAATTGATGAGAGAACTGGCTAGTAGGAGTGGGGACCTGAATACAAAGACTTGGGTCTGTCCTTGTAATACTTTCAAGCCACACACTAAAAGGGCTTTGTTAATGAAGATACTGCAAATATTACCAATGATTCAGAATTGAGTTTCTCATTATATTCTGCTCTTCTGGATTTGTCTTCTGGTCATTTTTCACTGTTGGAATAGAGGAGAGGTATAAATATTAAAGGTAATTGCAGTGAGGTCTCCCCTCAGTCTCCTCCAGGCTGAACAGACTAAGTGCTCTCCACACAGCTACTCCTCACGGCCTTCACCATCTTCATTGCCCTCCTCTGGACACTCTCTGGTAGTTCAATATCTTTCTTTTCAGCCTTTCATTCCCCAGTCTCCATACACCCGGGATTGTCCCATCCCAGGAGCAGAATCCAGCACTTTTCCAATGTTCAGAGAGATGTTGATTGCCCATCTGTCTGATTCATCAACGTCTCTCTGCAGGTCCTCCAAGGACCCAAAAACTCCTCCCGGTTTTGTACCGCCTGCCAACTTGCTTGTTTTCCCTCTCTGATTTCCGCACCGTTACCTTTGTACCCTCAGTCCCTTCCCACCGCTGCCATTCCCTACAAACGAGGGCCGGGAAGGGAACGAGGGTCGGGAAGGGAACGAGGGCCCGCGGGTCCGGCCCTGAGGCGGCCCCTCCCCGCCTCCAGGGGGCGCCGCCAAGGGCGCGGCGGCCTCCGAGCGCGGCCATCCCGGTTCCTGTGGGGCTCCTCCGCGCTCCTTCCCGGCTCCTCCGCGACCCTTCCCGGATCCTCCGCGCCCCTTCCCGGCTCCTCCGCCACCCCCGCCCTCAGCCATGTTGGCCTGCCGAGGCCCGGCCCTGTGCACCGCGCTGCGGCGAGCAGCGCCCGGCGGCCTCGCTTCCTTCCACTCCTCCGCTCCGCGCTGCCGCGCCGCCCGCGTCGCCGTGGTGAGTCATGGAGGAGCCGGGGCCGGTGCAGGGGAGGGTTTGTCTGGGAAAGCCTCGCCTGGTTGCTGCGACAGCTGGAAACGCTGGAGGGAGGCTGCTTGTTGTTCAGGAACTTGGAGGAAGCCAGACCAGGAGTGGGAAACATGCAAAAATTGGCGTCTGTGTGGTTGTAGGGTTATAGTAGTTCGGGTTGGAAGGGACCGCGGGGGCCAGCCCAGAGCACACGGCACAGGGTTGTATCTGTACGGTTCTGGAATATCTTCAATGACGGACACACCATTCCCTCCTTGGACAATCTGTCCCGGTGCTCAGTCACTGCACGGGAGGGAAATTCTTCCTCATGTTCAGGTGGAACTTCCTCTGCATTAGTTTATGCCCATTCCTCTTGTCCCGTTGCTGCGCACCTCCGAGCAGAGCCTGGTCCATCCTCTGACATCCCCCATTTAGATATTTGTACACATTAATGAAGTCTCAGTCGTCTCTTCTTGAAGCTGAAGAGCTCCCTCAGCCTTTCCTTGCAAGAGAGATTCCTCAGTCCCTCACTCATCCTCACTGCCCTCCACTGAACCCACTCCAGGAGCTCCTTGTCTGCTTTGTACTGAGGAACCCAGGAGGATTTAACTTGAAATAGTTTATAGTGTTACTGGGTGAGGTACTGGCAGTGAATATATTGGAACTGGGTTATGCTTTTTGGCAGGAGGGGGTGAAACGTGTTGCAAACACAGAATGAAGCAAGGAGGTGGTTACAGATTGCCAAAGGAAAATACAGGCTGTAAATGGTGTCCCAAATGGATACACAGCTTTGGAACTCTGTGGACAGTCTTTGAAGCTCGAGCTTTGCATAATCTAGACAGCATTAAACATAGAGAAATGAGAAGAAATGAATAAATTTCTTCTGCATGAAGAAATCTGTTTGGGGCAGAATTGGTTTGGAAAAGGGCTGGTCCAAATGGCAAATGCTGGTCGAAATGGCTAAAAAGTAACCCAACAGGAATGCTGTCAACTTAGCAAGTCACAGCTTTTTAAATAGAGCTAGGAAAAGAAATGTGATTTTTGACATTAGTGATGTAAAATTTTGACTGTAGTAAAAAGCTAGTACTGAAATAATAAGAGTTCATATACAGAAGAGTTTACAATAATAATATTACAGTATTTTGTTTTCACTGAGTGTCAAAAAAAATGTGTTGCTCACATAACATAACCTTTAGTACAGTTGCTTGTCTGTTTATTCAGTCTAAATTAAATTAAGGATAAAACAAAAAGTATTGAAGTAAAAGGCAGCTCTTAAATATAAGAACAGGATTGACATAGACAGAAAAACATTCATTTTTCATGCTCATTTGGTGAAGTGATGGTGATATTTGGTGAAGTGCTGCCCATGATAGCAGACACCTGGGTATTGAAAGTCCTTTCAAGTCTAACATTACTAGATAAGACTTTCTCAATTACGAGTTTCTGTTCATGTGTCTGTGTTAAAAACTCTCAAGCGTAAAAAAAAACTGAGGGAAGACCAGGAAGAAAGAGTTTAAAGTTAAAAAAAAAAATAAGAGAGAAAAGGAAATTGACTTCTTAACTGGATTTTTTTCTTTCAGAACAAAGAGCCAACAAAAAGCCTTGAAAGAGTTCATCTGTATATTTTCAGGAACTAGATAAACCTTTGGATTTTTTTGGTTTCGTTTCATTCGTACAGTGGCTTTTAAAAAAATCAAGTTTTTTCTCCTTCTACATTGTCAGATTCTCCACCCACACAAGGGTCGCTGACTGCCTTGTACTTTTTATTCTCTGGTGTGTATAAACAAATTTAAAGTATAATTTCAACATTGTTAAAGAAAAGTATGGCTAATATGGCATAATTGTATTACTTCATTAAAAATGATTTAGCTGTTGATCTCTGATGCAGATGCTCAGGTAAAATACAGCAGCAGATAAAATAGTTTATTTTAGGTGCCACCTCAGAGTGCATTTCTGTCCCTCTTTTGGTTGATGTGCACCTGGATGAGGATATGTTCCACATGGATGTGGACACTACATAAGAAAGATGAATGACACTCAGAACAACCCACTGTGTGCACAACAAAAACATTCCTGAGGGTAACATGTCAGTTTATTAACTGTGGTATAAATATGTCAGCCAGGAAATAAATAGTGGTTATTTCTGAGCCCTGTGATGGGTGCTATAATTAGTAAATGCCAGTTCTGCAGTGTGTCAAGTGGTGGCACCAGTGCTAATAGCATGGTGTTCACTGGCATAGTAAGAGCTTGCTTTTAAATTGTTGTTTGTTAACTATTTTTTTAAATCTTACCTTGTGGAAGATCCTGTGGGGAGTTTCATGCAATACTCTGTTGTTTTCTCACTGCAGGTCCTGTCTGGCTGTGGTGTCTATGATGGCACAGAAATCCACGAGGCATCAGCGTAAGTTGCTTTTTGGGGCTGTGGGCTCCACAAAAGTCTCCATTACATTGCAGTAGTTTGTTTAATTTAGTTTTGCTGTTTCTGGCTGTCAGAATTACCCTGAGAGATGAATGATTAAGCTTTCTTACAGTTATCTCACAGCCTAATTGTGAGCTCAGGCTGCGTTCTTGAAGAACTCAGTGATTGTCCAAAGATGCAGCGCCGTGCATGTGATGCCAGAACAGTGAGTCTGAGAGATTCAGACTCATTGTTTTCTCTTCAGAAACAGGAGTTCAGAGTTCTAGATTCATCTCAAGAGAGTCAAATACAGACTTAATTTCAGAACCACTTGAGTTTCCATTCTTGGGGCTAAATCTAACAGCAGAATTGTTAATGCTTAAGTGGAATTAACTCTACTGTAAATTAATAAGAGATGTGTCACCTAGACCTAGATTAAATGTTAATGGCTATGTTAATTGTGGGGTTCTTCTACAACATTTGGGATTTGGAGAAAGGAAGCCTTTGTTGTTCCTGGTTGCCTGCTTTGGTAGGATGTGTGTTTATCCTCATTTTTCAAAGTCAGTTGTTGGAATATTTGTAGCAGGTTTGGGGGTCAGATAAAGCCTCTCCCTTAAAGTTTTCTGCATATTGTATCTCCATGTTTGTAGTGTACTGGTTCACCTGAGCCGTGGGGGAGCTGAGGTTCAGATGTACGCTCCAGATGTCCCTCAGATGCATGTCATTGACCACAGTAAAGGGCAGCCAGCTGAAGCTGAGTCTAGGTAAGTCTCTGATGTGTTAGGCATTCTTCAGATGTAGCAGCCTGTAATGGCTCTTGTAGCACTTGGCTGAATGCCTTTAGTAGCTTTATGCCGACTTGGTGTTTTCTTGGAGAGAAGATATTACATGAGTGTTCTGGACTTGATTATATGGAGTCTGTCAGTGCCTGTGTTTCCCAGCAGTAGCATTTCAGAACCATCAATAGCTTCAGTTGCTAAATACCAGTGTTCTTGCTTCCTCCCTCCTCACCCTCCTCTTCCTCTGCAAAACTTTATTTACTCTGTCCTGCACGCAAATGCTTAATTAATCACATTGCTTTATTTCTGGTTCTTCAAGGAATGTTTTAGTGGAATCTGCCAGAATTGCTCGTGGTAAAATCGCAAGCCTGGCTAAGCTCACTACAGCAGACCACGATGCTGTGATATTCCCCGGTGGATTTGGAGCTGCCAAAAACTTGTGAGTGCCAGCTAAGCATCAGATTCCTCAACTAAATATTCATCATTAACTATGCATAATCAGCCTGGCAAAGAGAAGGCTTTGGGGTGATCTAACTGCAGCCTTTCAGTACCTGAAGGAAACATGCAGAAAAGATGGAAGGAGATTTTTTTACAAGGGTCTGTTGTGACAGTACAAGGGGGAATGGCTTCAGACTGAAAGAGAGTAGGTTTAGATGAGATACTAAGCAGCAGCTGCTTGCTGTAAGGATGGTGAGGCACTGGAACACGTTGTCCAGAGAAGCTGTGGATGCCCTATGCCTGGCAATGTTCAAAGCCAGGGTGGAGCAACCTAGCCGAGGGGGAGTTGTCCCTGCTTATGGCAGAGGGGTTGGAACAAGATAATCGTTTAAGGTCCCTTCCAGCACAAACCATTCTGTCACTTTGTGAGCTAATATTCACACAATAAAATCCATAAATGGCCTTATTTACTACATATGGAACCCCTAATTAGTAAGAATAACTCCTTTCAAAGTCTTTCTGTTGTCTTGTTTTAAATTCTCTGAACAATGTTGATAAGAATTCAAGAGTGTACATAATGCTTAAGTCCTTTTTCCTCCCCCTAGTGGTGTTTCTTTTTGGGTCTGAGGGAAGTGGAGGTAAAACTTAAATGGTTTCAGATGCTTGTAGGGTTATTATTCTGTTACTTCCTCTCTACCAAAAAATACCCTGTTGCTTTATAATTACAAAACAACAACTCAGAAAAAAAAAAAAGGAAACGAAAAGCGTTACCCATGTGGAATACTGATTATCTTGCTATTGAGATGCTTTTTTGTTGGCTTGGGGAAGAATTAATGTTACTTCCCTTTTCTTCTTACATATTTTTCTTCTTTGAAAAGACTGCTGTTCAGCTTCTCAGTAATCCTAGAAAGCTGATTTGATGATTCTCATTTTTATTAAGTAAGGGACTTTATGGCAGACCAAAGTCCCTTATTGTATGTAATGTATTACTGCATTAAAAATGATTTAGCTGTTGATCTCTGATGCAGATGCTCAGGTACAGAGTCATCTACAGAGTGTTTTTAACCAATTTTTTTAGTAGCTGTTCAGTTTGGTATGACCCTTTGGAGCCAGTTTCACGGCAGACAGGCAATATCTCTGTTTGTAGGTTTAAACTGAGCTTTGTGTAAGTTTCTTGTTGTGACAGATCTACCTTTGCTGTTGATGGGAAGGATTGCAAGGTGAACAGAGAAGTTGAGCGAGTCCTGAAAGACTTCCACAAAGCAGGGAAACCTATTGGGTATGTATGTGAGTTTGGTGGCATTTGTTTTAAAGTGTGAGCATGGAGACAACCTGTGTCTTGTTGAAATGTGCAGTTGTTGGAACTGGAAAAAGTATCTTCTGTTTTGTATCATTTGCAGCCTATTTTTTAAATGTGTTTTTCAATATTTGTGTGTGTTGGTGTTTGTCAGAGAAGAAGCTGAGGAAATGCTGAGAGGAAGTTGCCTTGTGCTGTATCTCAGATATTCAAGGCTGTGTCCATTTGAATTTTGTCAGTTGTGAGCAAGTTCTGGAATAGTGGTGGTGTAGAATTGCTCTTACAATTCCTTCTGTTGCAGCCTGTGCTGCATTTCCCCAGTGCTGGCAGCAAAGGTGCTCTCTGGTGCTGAGGTGACTGTGGGCCACGAAGAAGAGGAAGGGGGCAAGTGGCCTTATGCTGGGACTGCAGGAGCCATCAAAGAGCTGGGAGCAAAACACTGTGTGAAAGAAGTAACCATATCCTTTCCTGGTAATTTCCATCTTGGGAGGCACTGTAGAAATGTGTCATTAAAGGAATGAACACATGTAAAAATCTGTGTTTTCCACATAGATTTTCATGGGAACATGCAATGGGTAGCAGATAGCAGTGGTGCAGTGCAGGATTAGAAACTCTTCTGTACACAGCTGTGTAGCTACTGCTGTGTAACTACACACTGGGAGTTAGAAGTTGTTCTCAGGCAGCTCCCTTGGGCACCCAGTAATACACCAAGTGCTGAATGAATTTGCACATAAAACTGGCATGGGTTACCTCTGGTCAGTTCTCTTTGAGATTTTAATTTTTTTCCTGAAGTTTAATGCTGCAGACTGTACTCAGAGACATTTTACTACCATCAGTGAATTTTGTAGGGTTTTTTTTTTTTGTGTGTTTCTGGGTGTTTCCACAGGTTTCTCATGCAGCATTTGTATTTCTGCCAAAAATACCTTGTCATAGCTTGGATTATAGGTTGCAGCTGTCTTTACAGCTGCATGGTATAGCATATTTGGAGGAAGTTTTTATAGGATAGTGGAGCAGTGCTGGTTCCTTTTGCAGGCAGCATCTGCAAGTGCTGTGTTTTCCTTAACTCCTTTTTACGAAGCTCATGTGGATACAAAAAATAAGGTGGTGACCACCCCAGCATTTATGTGTGAAACAGCATTACACCATATCTTTGATGGCATTGGAGCAATGGTAAAGAATGTGCTAAAATTAACTGGCAAATAAAATCAGAAATGTTTAAATTTAGGTTATAGTATCAAACATGTCATGGACCAATGGAGACCTTTGCACCTGCTTGTCCTGCTCACACTCTAGTGAATGCTGATATGAAGCTGACTGATTCCCAGCTGCAGGATTTTCCATGCCTTTTTGAGAGATGGGCATTGCAGAGGACAAGGAGCCTGGCCCGAGACACAGGATTTTCTTGAGCTGTTCCATCTGGAGAGAGCTGACTGGATGTGTTCTGAAACAAAATCTTCCCAACACACCAATGTCAAACCAGTTGTAAGGGGGAAAAAGAGACTCAAGGCTCTTTCAGAAGCTGAGGGCAGATGTGTTGTAGGGATTTGGGACATGGCAACATATTTAGTGGATGAAGAACGGGAGTAGAGGAATGAATGTGTGGTTCAAGGTGTCTAAGCTCAGGCCTGTATCTGGGAACTAACAGCCAGGGTCATCTTTGAGGGAAAAGAAAATTGGAATCTTCCACATCCTAATTTAATCCGGTATTAATGAAAAAGTTTTTGTTTAAATTTCGAAGAATCCCACTTTCACAGAGCCATTCTGAACATTGATCAGCAGCAGGACGCAACTGCCACAACAGCAGCACTTTGAAAAACTCATCCATTGGCCCATTATAGTTTTAAAAGATCTTGAAATGAAGAAGAGAATAATATCAGCTGACGTGACGCACAACTCTTAAGGACAGCACCCCGTTAAAGCAGTTGTATGACAAGTAGTGAATGGAAAAAACAATCTCAAATTATCCTAACTTCCCCTGCTTCAGGGCAATAAAGCTTTCCCCAGAGAAGTATTATTGAATGTCTGGAATAATGATGTATAAATAAATTAATTTCTGCCTTTATCTTATCCTTGACCTTTCACTTTTGTTTGGGAGCTGCCTTACACTGGTTGGTACATTTTAGCAGTTTTTCTGCTTTTCAGTTCACCAATTTTGTTTATTTTTTCCATATAGAATCCAACAGACTGTTGTTCTCCACCTCTTCCAATTTTTTTTGTCACCTTTCTGTTGAGCAGGACACACAACAAGCACAATGACACCCCTTACCTTGGATTAAAGTTTCTCTTCCATGACAGACTTGCTGAGATGAACCCATATTTTCAAGGGATAATTGTTATGTTTCATAAATGAATCTACAAGCCTTAAACTGAGTTGGTGTATGGCAATTGCCACTTGTGGCTGAACACTTGCCAAGCATGTGGGATGACATTTTTTTATTTGGGTGAATGAAAAGAAGCTTGAGTGTGAGTGTTGGGCATGCTCAGCTTCGTCAGTCAGGGTTCAGGAAATAAGCATTTTTGCTTCTGGGGCCTTTCTTTTGTCACTACTAAAAGAAAAAAATCACATCTGGATTTAGAAGATTTGGGTTTGTACTTCAGTGCTGGCACTGTTTTCTTGGGGGATTTTAGAGATTGCCTGAGCAGATCAACTCCAGTGAGGTAACAAAGGACTCCTACACAGACACCAAGTCATTGTAGAAGTAGGCATAGTTCATAAAGTAAATTTTGGACATTTCTCTGAAACCTGTTTTGCTTATGCATCAAATTCTTCATGAAATTTTCAATATCAAGTTGGTAAGAAACAGAATTTAAAACACTGCCACTATATAATTCAGTGCAAAAACACCCCTTTATGAGCTTTGCTTGTACAAAGTGGGTATTTTTAGGATCTATTTTATACACAGGCTTAGCAGAGGATAGGAGGTCATTGTTTATAGAAAATGTTGTAACATTTTAAAGTGCATGTGTTCTCCACATCTGCAAGAGGTTTAAAAGAAATTTGGTAACAGAGTGTCATGCAGCAGAAATGGTATTGGGATCTCCAGAGTGGAAGAGCTGTTGTGCCTGTGTTAACAGCACCTTCCTCTGCTTTCTCTAACAGCTCTGGGTTAAACCTTCCCATGAACTTCCTCACCACAGCAGGGCTGAGGGCTGGAATTTAACGTTTCTCATATCCACAGTTCCTGGTAAGTGAAGCTGTGGTGGCACAAAGCTTCCTTAGATGCTGAATCTTCAGATTCAGGTGCTCTGAGAAAAAGGATGATCTTTCGAAGAAATTGCTGTTACTATCAGTGAGCAACTGTGGGAAGTTGGTGGTTGGGTCATCCAGATGGTGCCTCTTTACAGTTCTCAACTCTTTTTACCCTTCTTTTTTAATTTCCCTGAATTTAGAGAGAATTGGGTTTTTTAAGGGAGAAAGAATCATACACCAGAATTGCCTTTCATTTTTAAAATTCTCTCTAATTTCCCAGTAATGTGCTGACCAGAAGCCTCCGATACACACATTTTTCAAGGATTTGGTGGTGTGGGTTTTTTTGTTGTTGTGAAGTGGTTTTTGTTTTGGTTTTCATTTTTTATTATCAGAAGAAAGTTGTTTAACTTTGGTGGAAGATGTAGGATTGTCATTTTGGCTTTCAGCCTGTGTAAATTTGGAGGGAAATTCCATGTGCATTTAGAGATTGTTGTTAAAGATTTATCTGCAAAGCTGGGATTTTCCTTTCCTTCAGTAGGGCGGATTGGAGCTGGTGTGGGGTTGGCTACTCTTAACCAAGTGGACAGGAGTTCATGATTAATATGTTTTACTAAATGCTACCAGAAATAAGAAGTGAAAGAGGCTTCTTGAAGCCTCCACCAGGAGTCATGCAATACCTGCCTTATGGATTCCTGACATTTCTTATCTTTGGGAAGCATTTAAGAGCTCTGTGCTACTGAAAGGGAGTTGTAATAATTGTGTTCCTGCTCAGGTTGATTTTCTAGTGCTTGCAGGATTAACTTGAAGGGCTGGGAGGAGTTGCTGCCTCTCAGCTGTGATTGTTTGTCCCCTTTTGCCTCATTGATGGTTACACACAAACCCCTTTTTGTGAAAGGTTTCTCTGCTGGTTGTTGCAGCGTCCACAAATTTGGCAGCGGTGCTTTTCTCTTCTAAAAGCAGAAATGTTTTTTAGCCTTTGGTTTGTGGCTGCAAGAGACACTTTTATTTGGGGAATAAAAAGCCAGCAGAGGGCACTTGGTGAACAACGTTCTGTGCAGGGTTCCACTCACCCAGGGGCGATATTCCAGCTGTGTAACACCTGGAACGTGGGACAGTTCTGTAGGGCAGTTTTTTGTACATTTTAGATCCATATGGAGAATAAAACAAGTATTTCTTCCTCCTAGCTTCACAATAATAGATAGGACACCCAATTCCATTGCAATGAATGCATTTGTTCTGCTGTGTTGTTAAGAATAATTTCCTCAGCACAGTTATTTATCCCCCTGAAAATATAGTAGCAAATACACATCAGTTAAGCTCTAGCCCCTTCCTGTGATACAAATATCTCGGGGGAAAAAAAGTGTAGTATGAAGTCATAAAGATACACAGTGAGGTTTGGGGTTTTTTAATAAGGATTTTTTTTTTGTTTTGTTTTGTTTTATTTTGTTTCCTTGTTCGGGTTTTATTTAAACACTAGTGGTGTAATGGCCAATATGACTGAAAATGAAGGTTTGTCAGGAAGGACTTTTATCAGGCCTAGAAATATCCCTGGAAGGAAACACACTGTTTCTTGAAGTGTCTGTGGCTTTGCAAGCTAGCCACATGTGTGAATATGCACTTATAATATTTGTCAGAGTGGGAAATTAGATAATCCTTCACCTGCAAATAATTAAGAGTTGCCTTCTTTCCAGGGCTTGAGTCTTTTGTTTGACCTAGTTTTCTTCTTCATGTGGCTTCAAATGCCTGAGAGGAATCTTCCTTATTGAATGGGTGAGCCTTAGCCCTCAGGAGAATTAAAGAGCTGATATTTGGTTATTTTCCCCAGGGTGATTCCAGTGGTGGCCAACATCCCTGCAGAAAGAGAGAGAGAGGGCAAGAGAAGGGGCAAAACTGGGACTATCCCAAAAGCTGAAACAGAAATTGCAGTGAGGATTGCAGCACCGATAGCCACACGATTTCCTGCTGCATATTTAAAAATAAACATCATCTTTGTTTGTTTTCAGTATTTTTCTGTACTCTGTTCAACTTCTGAGTGTCAGGCCATGGAATGATTGCCCTCAGGTTTAACTGAATTAATGGTGAAAATTCCAGTCTAGTGGAAGGTGTCCTTGCCCATGGCAGGGGTTGGAACTGGAAGATCTTTTAGGTCCTTTCCAACCAAAACATTATAAGATTTTATGATTCTGCATCAAATGTGTCCATATTAATTTCTTGCTGATGTTCTCTATGGGCCTTTTCTCCCACATCACATGAAACTAAAGGGAGCTGACAGAGGAAGGCATTAACCAGTTAATCTGGCCTTGCTGTAAACTTAGAAAAACATGATCAAACTAACTCCTGGTTGTCTCTTACCAGTGTCACTGCCAAATATTGGAAAAAAAATTAATTGGCTTTTACAGCCATTCTTTGGCAATAATAATGTCCAAAGAACTCTTAAAAATTTCTTTAATGTAACACATTATCACCCATATGCTCCTGCCATATGGAATATGTAGGTGTGGGCCACCAAGGTACTGCAAGTGAGGGAAGTGGAGATTACTCCTTAAATGTGTGAATTGTTTTTGTGCTCCTTAGTTTTCAAAGCAATCCCTCTTGTTCCCAGTGAAACTCTGGAAGACACAAGAACTGTCTGCTCCTCACATTCTGCAGTGAGGGAACTTTCAAGACAGACACCTCCTGTGTCATCACCCAGCCAAGGAAGGACAGGTCAAGGCCAGCTGGTCACTCAAACCTTCACTTGCAGGAAATTGGAATGGTGGTTGTAGATAACCACTGGGAATGGCATGAAGTACAGCTCTGGGAAAATATAATAAACAGGGACATTTAAACATCTCAAGTGCTGCTGCAAATCTGAGTCACAAAAAAGAAGAGTTGTAAACAACATTCAGAGGTCACCCAGGCCCTTCTGTAGTCACACAGCTCACACTTGTCAGTGGAGGTGCTCAGTAATTAAATTTAAAAACAGAGGGTTGATACAGCAAGGAAATAAGTGTTATTTTCCCAACAAGAGCTCATGTGTGGACTCAAGTATTAAAAGTTTATGCCAGGTGAAGCATTTTAAAAAACATGAAAGCATCAGAGTCTTATTCATATCATAGCTTTACAAATCAGTTTTAATGGGCTTGATTTACAGGTGATAATCTATTAACAACAATTTTTTTCAATGACTTTTTACAGCAGCCATAAAAATTGAGTTCTACAATTATTTTGGGTAAAGTTGGTAGAAATTACATAGTATGTAATATGGCTCCTATGTTTATACTGGACTTATTACTAAACCCTTTTAGTTCCATATGCAATACATTGGATTCATCTGTGTTCTTGTGCAGTTATTACAAGGGTTTTATTTTCAAAATAGACTCTGAGAATAAATTTACATTATTTGACTTCTAATATTTTTCAGTTTATGTCCAAGAAATTATGATACTGATAGAATAAATGCCTAATACTGTGTAAAGCAGTAGCTAGGAAGTTTCTCCTGCTGTTGGCACAAAAAAAATGCAAACCAAAGTGAGGCATCTTGACTCAGGTTTTTGATCTGTCAACAATGTCAGCTGGAAAAAATTGCACTGCTTCAGCTTTCTCCCCCTAAACCAGGAATGACTGTTTTTCAGCACTGTGCAGGGATGGTGTTGGGAACTCCCTGAATTTATAAAAGTGCTTTGAGCTGCCTGCATCCAAAGGGCTTTGTATGGCTGGTCACTGGGAAAATGAGATTTCTGCATTAGTGTCTTCTGTGCTGAAAGCAATTGGGAAGTTTGCCTCCCTTTTGTGCTGTAAAGAGATTCCTGTCAAAGCCTCTGGTTTGGGGCTGAAATTGCAAGGTTGCTTTAGCCATGCAGGTGTTACTGAAATGGATTTCCTTGTTGTGTTTTAG